AAATGTTTTTATTCTCTTGTTGAAATGGCAGGCACAGACAGCAGACAAAGTAGGTTCTCAAACGATTGATACACTTGGTTACAAGAGTGCTTTCTCATGGGAGAATGTGGTGGACCTATAAGGCATTCTTTAATTTAGATTTCATATAGGAGAGCTTGTCTTTTTAGGTACTTAATATAGTTAGCTTTTTCTGTTTTCTCAGGTTGAACTTGAATTAATGCTGAAAGGGGCTCTGGAAGAAAAATAAGAGTAAAAGGAAATTTTAACATGTATGGGTTGCTGCTGAATAAGGCAGAATATAAATATTCCATAGGCTTTCATTTGTTCATACTTTATATAAGTTTTACTATCAACTTAACAGTTTGCTTCTGCTGTTCTGCTTTTTGAATTCTATTGAAAAGATTATATGGTGGTTCTCAAGCAGCCTTAAACCAAATCCTGATAAACTTCAGTTGAAAATAAAGCCAGGTTTACTAAATTGTTATCAAATAACTCAGGAAATTAGGATAAATATTTTTACATCTTGATTTAACTATTTTGTTATGAGTATGATGCTTAAAATATATGTGTTAGCCTAGACTTGGGAATGTTTAATCTGATCAAAGGACAACAGATGTGGAACAGGAATTCAGAAATCTAGAAGACTCTAAAAGCAAGCTAATGGCTTTTACCAAACTGCACACTAGGACTAGAGAACACCCTTCTAGTTCTACTAGGCTCTGCCAGGAGATGATTTGGGACCTGGGCGAGGGCCTACTTAGGAGCTGGGCAGCAGTGGTCTGTTGGTGGACTGTCCTTTGGCCTCCTCCCTGTTAGCTCTAACTGGTTACAGAGAGGCTAGCATTGTCCTTGACTAAGAGACCCGAGCCATGACCTTAGCGTCTGAGCTCATGCAGGTAGCCTAGACTTGCTTTGGTTCTTCTGTGGAATGCGTTTGTTGTTCTAGGCTGAGGAAGGGTAATATTTCGTATTTTTTAAATGTATAGTTAGTCCCCTGTGAGCTGGATGTTCCTAACTGTGCCATCTGTGATCTTTGACTTTGATTATACGAATCGAGACCATGTTGAGATAGTTTTCTGCACTACTGGATGACCAAAAGGAAAAGATGGAAAGAATTCCTGATGAAATGTATCAGTGTTCTGCCCTGGCCAGTTTGGCTCAGCGGTTAGAGCGTTGGCCTGCCGTCCGGAGAGACCCGGGTTCGGTTCCCGCTAAGGGCATGTACCTCGGTTGCAGTTTGTCCCCGGCCCTGGTTGGTCGTGCGGGTGGCAGCCACTCGATGTGTCCCTTTCACATCAATGTTTCTCTCTCTCTCTCTCTTCCTCTCTCTCCCTCCCACTCTATCTGTACAAAAAATGGAAAAATGTCCTCGGGTGAGGATAAAAAAAAAAAAAGAAATGTATTAGTGTTCCAAAATACCCTAAAAACTTTGGCTCAGACAGTTAGAAAGTGCTTTGTCCCAGAAGTTCACCAAGCAAGTAGTATTCAAGGGACAAGACAGACCACACACACCCCCATTTTCACCCTGGCAAGGTGATCATATGAATGTTGTCAAAAATACTTACTGCCCTGGCCGGTTTGGCTCAGCGGTTAGAGTGTTGGCCCACAGACCAATGAGACGGGTTTGATTCCGGTCAAGTGGCATGTACCTCAGTTGCGGTTCGCCCCCGGGCATGGTTGGGTTGTGTGGGAGGCAGCCAGTTGATATATCTCTCTCATATCGATGTTTCTCTCTCTCTCTCTCTCTTTCTCTCTCTCTCCCCTCTCCCATTCTGTCTGATAAATAGAGAAAATATCCTCTGGTGAGAATAAAAAAATTTTACAATGTTTTAGAAACAGATTTTTCAAAACATGTTGGGTGAACTTTGAGACTACAGGAGCCCTTTGGGAGCTTTTTGGTCTTTTGGTATTTATTTTCCTTTCTACACCGAAGGGGTGGCTACCTTGGATGGTTGGTGTGACTGGAAGAACAGGTTGTCTGTCCTTCCTGCACGCCCCCTACTGGAGACGGAGCCTGCAACCTGGGAATGTGCCCTGACCAGGAATCGAAACAGCAACTTTTGGTGCACAGGATGACACCCAGCCAACTGAGCCACACCAGCCAGAGCTAATTAAGCAAGTCAGTTGTGGTGAAATCATCACATTGTGTGTGTGTGCCTTGAACTTGCCTGTGGCTACCATTGGTACTATTTAGGCAGAGAGCTGCCTAAATTATTGGTTCTGCTAGTAGCAAAAAAAGTGGTCTCTTTTAGTTGACATCCAGTAATGGATAAATTGGAAAGCCTGTTGCTTGAGTGGATTGGTGGGTGGTGCAAGGTGTGGTGTGTATTTATCATATCATTTCTGCTTTTACTATATGTTAGTGTTATTTTAGGTTTTATTTGGTATGTTTTTTTAGTTTGGGAACACTAAAATTTTTTTCTGTATAAATTAATGGTGATTTCTTCTTCGCTTTAAAGCAATTTGTCTTACAAAATGTTTCATATGAACTCTCTACTTTCACATAGTGGGGGAAACCTGAACTGGCTAACTGCAAGGCTGGATTCAAGGAGGGGTGAATGAATGCATGTGTCTTCTGAATATGTGGTCCTAGTAAAGATATTTTAAATGAAATTTAAGAAATAGCCGTGGCTGGTTTTGCTCAGCAGTTAGAGCGTTGGCCTGCGGTCCAGAGAGACCCAGGTTCAGTTCCTGCTAAGGGCATGTACCTCGGTTGCAGTTTGTCCCCGGCCCTGGTTGGGTCGTGTGTGTGGCAGCCACTCGATGTGTCCCTTTCACATCGATGTTTCTCTCTCTCTCCCTCCCACTCTATCTGAACAAAAAATGGAAAAATGTCCTCGGGTAAGGATAAAAAAAAATAGAAGTTATAACTGTGGTGGTTTTTTTCCCCAAAATTCTTGGGCCTCTAAGAAAAGTGTTTCAGCAGTTTAATTTTATGCAGTAAAACAAAAATTCTGAGAGAAGTCATTGTTGCATAGAATTTATTTAGTGTAAGTAGTACTTTCTAAAAATACAAATTCTTGCTTCAGATCTGAGTTTCAGATAACAACTGCAAAAACCTAGTTGAAAATCAGAAATGCCCTTTATATTAACAGTTTACTGAGCTACCATCTCACCTTGATTAAGTCAGGAGAACTCAAAGTTGAGCCTAATTAGTAGGCATTTTGAATAATTTTTTTGTTTATTTTATTCAAGTTGAATTTGAGTTTCAGTGGAATTTAAATTTGTTTCTGTTTACTGAAGTAAAGCAAATAGGTCCAAAATGGCAGGGTAGAGTATGTTCACTTTTAAAAAGGTGAGAAATGTCAGCTGTAAGGGCTTCATGTGGAAATCACCTGTGCATATGAAATTGCACAGAACAAGATCATTTTTGTACACTAGTTTTATTTGTGTTTTTATATGGTTATTTCAGAAGAAAAGGGCCAGTTGTGCAAAACATTGCTTTGTTTGCAACCTAGAGTTTAGAGTTGAAAAAAATAATGCAATCCATCTTGTTCAAGACACTCGTCTTACAGGTGAGGATCCAAACTTATAGAAAGGGATTGTAAGTTACCCAGCATGAATGGGCTAGAGCAAGCTAGATAGAGCGGCAGTCACCATGTGAGGATGGTGGAGAGAACTGAGCTGGGATTTCTTGAAAGAGTACACCCTCCTCTAGGAGGTCTTCCCTGGGGGTCCCCTTTCTCCCAGTTTCAAACACCAAGACACTTGAAAAATAGAGTGAGCAGTACACAGCAGGTGGAATGTTGTTACATCTTTGTGAAAGAGCAAAGGAAGGCAATGAGAAGAGCTATTCTTTTAATGATTGATTTCTGTTTATCCAGAGGAATTAGGTGAGCATCAGAATATCAGTGTGAGGTTTCCTAAATTCACCTCTGTGGAAATTGTTGCTTAGGTGTTCATAGGGAATTTAGTCTGGCTCTGTTGACTGGAATGGATGGAATCCTGATATGTGTTGGTTGCAGGCCCTTACAGAGGCATAGATGGGGATTCCTTCTTCCTGTTCTTGCCTTAATGTACTATACACTTTATATTATTTCACTAATTTAAAATAAACTTTATTATGGAGAATTTCAAACTTGTTTAATATTAGAGAAGATAATATAACAATCCCTCACGTGCATACCTGTCACCTGTTTGGGAGTTACCAATATATAGACAGTGGTTGGTCATCTGGGCTTCTTTCCTGTCAGTACCTCTTGCCTCATTAAGTTATTTATTTATTTATTTATTTTTAATAATTTTTCTTTATTGATTTTAGAGAGAGAGAAAGGGAGAGGGAGAGAGATAGAGACATCAATGAGAGAGAACACTGATTAGCCACCCCCTGAACAGCCCCCACTGGGGATTGGGCCCGCAACCCAGGCATATGCCCTAACTGGGACTCAAACCAGGGACTTCCCAGTGCATGGGATGACACTCAACCAGGGAGCCACACCAGCGGGGCTCACTAGGTTATTTTAAAGCAAATCCCAGACATTATATCATTTCTTTGTCAGTTCTTCTACTATGTGTTTTGAACTTATGGAAATTTAGCTTTTAATCTGATGGGGAAACTTGAAAGAAACTTTTAGAGAGTAATTAAGATTAAGCTGAAGGAGCTCCCCTTTGTTAGTGATTCTGCAGTGTTTTGTTTTCCAAATGATTTTCTTAATGTGTTAGTACCACTGTTGTGGTGGGGGAATCGGGTGGCATGTATGGTTAAGGTTAAGGATGAAAACTGCTGGCTCTTTGGGTGGTGTTTAGGAGGAGGAGACTGATGTAGCTGTTGAGAGCATCTTGGTTAGTCTTCTGTCTTAGTGTATAGCTGTTTGAACAAGTTCCTCTGTTCATAATTCTGACTGTGAACTCTGAGAATAAGCCTTTAATTTGTAATTGATATGAAACTTTCATAGGAAATAACAGCTTTTGCTTCCCTGGGTCAAAGTGAGCAGTTTGGAGGTCCTTTCTTTATATATGTGATTGCCCCAACACCTGATGTTGCCTCTTTTTTGTTTCAGATGGGAATGACTGGTAACACAAGTCCATTTGGACAACCCTTTAGTCAAACTGGAGGGCAGCCAATGGGAGCCCCTGGAGTGAACCCCCAGTTACCCAACAAACAGAATGTGGTCACTAGTTTGCCTCCCTTCCCTGCAGACATCAAGAATGCTTCAGTCACCAATGTGCCAAACATGGTAAGTTGCCCTTGGCTCTCAGGGCTGTGGGTACTTTGCTGTATGGATTTTATTGTGCTCACAGTAAAGATCTGCAACTAAAAATGTACCGTAGGTGATAGGAAAATAATCCATATTTCTTATGAGTAGCTCTCTCCCAGTGAGTTTACATTTTCTATGATGAGCTGGCAATCAGAGGGCTAGGTTGAGGTTATTCAGCCAGTGCTCCCAGGCTCCCTTTGTGGAGGGAGAGGGTTCATGACTGTGAATTGCTGTACCTTTCTCTTCAGAGTCACCCTCTTGGTTTTAGTAGTGTAGCCAAAAGAATCCAAGAGGCAGGCTTTTCTCATACTGTCTGTTAGTGGTTGAGGTTGTCACTAAAAGCCTATCAGTTTCTGTTACAAAAGATGTTCATCTTCCAAAGACTGTATTTTGTCTATGAGACATGGTTGTTGTGTCTGACTTGATAGGTGGTTTCACGTGTCTTCATTCTCCCCGAGATTTCCCACCTATAAAATAGGGGTTATCCTTGTAACCTCTTGGCCTAACAACCAAGATATAACGGGAAAATAGCTCCTTTTGCATTGCGAAATAGAATCTCTCTTAATTCCAAAGACTAAGGGTGTGTGTGTGTGTGTGTGTGTGTGTGTGTGTGTGTTTGTCAGACCTCACTGTGCACACATAGCTGCTAAATATCTGATATGCCTTTGGTGGCTGATTGAGGCCAGAAACAGCCAACTCTGTTATTCCCTGGGCCTGTTGCTGGAAACCTGCCCTTTTAGGATTGTCCAGTTCTAGCCTTACACATCCAAAACATAAAACAACGCTCACTGCTCCCCTTCTGAGCTCTGGAGGTAGCAGTCTGCATCTGGCACCCACATTCTCCCTAAATCTCACTTGCCTTGCCTTTTCCATTCCTCACTAAGAGAATAGTAGCATGGACTCCAGTGCTGGTGGTCATCACCTGAGCTTGCTCAGTGACCTAAAGCACATTTTGGCTTTAGAGAAAGAGCATTTACGCCCTGGCCGGTTTGGCTCAGCGGTTAGAGCATCGGCCTGCGGTCCTGAGAGACCCGGGTTCGGTTCCCGCTAAGGGCACGTACCTCGGTTGCAGTTTGTCCCCGGCCCTGGTTGGGTCGTGTGGGTGGCAACCACTCGACGTGTCCCTTTCACGTCGATGTTTCTCTCTCTCTCTCTCTCCCTCCCACACTCTGTCTGAACAAAAAATAGAAAAAATGTCCTCGGGTGAGGATAAAAAAAAAAAAAGAGCATTTACTTTTTCTCAGCCATTTGTATTTTATAGTCTGGTAAACTCTGACCTAATATTTTCCTCCTTTTCTCTTTTCAAATCTTCTCCAGCTCTTCTTCCCTATCCTCTCTCCTTTACCCACAATTTGGTGGCAAAATCCTTTTACTCCACATTCACTGCCTTCCTGTGCTGATCCAGAGGACTGAACTTCCAAAAGTGCTACATTTGTCAGGGTTAAATTCAGACTTAACTGGAAAGAGGTTTCTGGTTCCTTTTACCTGTGCCAGGGTTGGTGGAGACAGTGGGGATGGCCCCTTGGTCTGGAGCAGGGATTCTCTCTCCCTCAGCACTGTTGACATGCAGGGCTTGATCATTCTCTGTGGTGGGGGCTGTCCTATGTATTGTGGGATGTTCAGCAACATCCCTGGCCTCTACCCACTAGATGCTCATAGCACTCTCTCCTTCCCCCTTTCTTCCTCCCCACAATGGCCCCAGGTGAGAACCCCTGCTCCGGGGAATACTGGTTAGCAACAGCATCTCATCTTTCTGTCTTCGTGACATCTAACAGAAATAAAACCAGTTTTTTTTTTCTCCTTAACTCTTTTTTTGTCTCACCCTTCTCCCTTTTTCCACCCATTCCCTTGGCATCTTTACTGCTTTCCTAGCTGCCACTTTCCCACCAGGGCACTTGTGGACTTTGAGAGATTCACAGCAGGTACCTTTGGAGGGCAGACTTTGGGTGAGCTACTCAGACCTTTAAGAGGGTGGGAGTGCTTTACCAGCATGTATGTCGGTAAGGCAGAGTAACCCAGGCACAGCCTTCGTGCTGTAGGTTCAGAAACGAGAGGTGTCTGGGCAGAGAATTGGGGCAGCCAGCACACATAGTTTACCTGACATCTTTCTGAGTGCCATCATGTCCTGTGTTTTACCTTGTTCTTAAAACAGGCTCTTTGAAAGACATCATTACCTGTCCCATTTTACAGATGAGGAAGTTGAGGGTCTGAGGGGTTTTGGTTTGTTTAAGGCTCTGTGTGCAAAGCCCAGAGCTCTTTTTTTTTAATCCTCACCTGAGGACCTTTTTTTGCATTTATCTTCAGATAGAGCAGGAGGGAGTGAGGGAGGAAGAGAGAGAGAAACATTGATATGAGAGAGAGAGACATTGAGTGGCTGCCACCCACACAACCCCAACCGGGGCTAGGGATAAAACTGCAACCGAGGTACACGCATTTAGAGGGAACCAAACCCCGGTCTCTCTGGTCCGCGAGCCAACACTCTAACCACTGAGCCAAATCGGCCAGGGCAGAGCTCTTTTGTTTTTCTTTTTTTTTTAATTTCTCTTTTTCTTTATTGATTTTTAGAGAGAGAGGAAGTGAGAGGGAGTTAAAGATAGAAACATCGTTGAGAGAGAACATTGGCCGCTTCCTGCATACCCGCACTGGGGATCGGGCCTACAACCTGGGCATGTGTCCTGAACAAGAATCGAACCAGCAATCTCTTGGTGCATGGGTTGATGCCCAACCACTGAGCCACACCAGCTGGACCAGAGCTCTTTTTAATTATGTCTGATGTCATTTTTAGCAGCTCCGAGTCCACTGGGAGTGCTTCACTAGCCTGTACTTACATCATTTGTTTGCAGTTCCTCGATCATGTTATGTGATCTTCCTTGAATTTTCTAAATTGCATCTGGCCCTTTGGAATCATAGATCTGGCACAGTGAGGGAAAGCAGCTACTAAAAATCTAAGTCTTGTTAATGAAAAAAAGAAATACAAAGCCTTGAATTTATTTGTGAGTTTTGGGGAGTAATTTTTTGAAGCCCAACTGAATTCAGTGTACCCAAACAGTTAGGGTCAGGATTCTGATGCTGTGTTTGAGCTCTTCACTGAATGATTTAAGCCAGTTGGTCATTAGCCACTGAGCCAAATCGAAGAAAAGGAGCTCTTTTCTTTTTCTTCTCATTTCTAGAGGATTCCAGTATCATTGGGCCGTGTTAGGAAAGGGGGGATGTGGACATTCCTTTAATTTGCCACATTTGTTGAATGTCCTCTCTGGGCCCACTGGAATATAGATGTGTGTGATACAGACTTTGCCTTCTTTCATGAAATTTGGGGGAGGTGGTAATGGAGAAAAAATAATTACAAAACATAAACTGCCTCAACAGATCTAAGTAGCATGGAGTGGTTGAGGTTGATACAGGAACCTCCTTAGATAGAGCCATCAGAGAAGGCTGCACTACAGAAGGAGATTTTGAGGGCAAGATCAGAAGGAGAACAGAAGCCACGAAGACCCTAGCTCACTAGGAGTGCATTGGTTTGTATAGGAACTGGCAGAAGTCCAGTGGGAAAGATGACTCTCATGTGAAGGGAGAGCAGTGTTAGTGGATGTTGGGGACCAAGCAGGAGACAGCTCAGGGAGGGTTATAGGTGGCAACAACCACTGCAGTAGTCTGGGCTAGAGGAGATGGTGGCCTGGAGGTGTTTGATCACAGTAGGGTCAGGAGTCTAGATGAGGTTTGCCACTAGAGCGGGTGTGTGGGGTCACCATGTGAGACAACTGGTGGGTGATGGTACCATTTACAGAGTTGAGGAGGAACAGACTTGGAGGGGAGTGACCAAGGGGGAGGCATCAGTAATTCCATTTCAGATGTGTTCCTTTTGAGTTGCTTGTGAGATGTCCAGGTGGGGGTGTCAGGCAGACTGGTGAGCATACAAGTAGAGTGGCTGCTGTCCACATGGGAACTCTGATAACCATATTGCAGCAAGGGCTGTGAAGTGAACAAGCTCATGCAGGGGGCAGAGAACCAGGAGAGAGAGGAGGTCAAGGAGGAGCCACAAAGGGGACAGCAAGGGAACGATGTTCCTGCAGTCAAAAGAGGAAGATGTTTGAACAGAAGGAAATGATGCAGTGGAGATCATTAAGATGAGGGCAGAAGAGCATCACTGAAATGTGCAGGCAAATCTTTGTCTACTGAGAGTTTAACCTGTAGTCATGGAGAACCTGCAGATGAGGGTACTCTGTTGTCATCTTCTGAACCTTTCAGAGCTCCTGTAGTATATGGTGTCATTGTTGAGGGCATACATATTCTCAGTACAGTGTTCAAAAGCAACTAGCACATTTTCCTAAATTTTCAGATATATCTCATTGCACCTCTGTATTTGGCCATTTTATTTGTGATTTCTTACCTTTCTATGGACTTTGGAAGTTTGTTAGAAATTTCACCGTATTTCGTGATTCTAAGATGCACATTTTTTTTTTCACATTGTAGCATATATGAAATTAGGATGTTTTAGAAACAAGTTTTAGATCTTATAAAATAGTATGTATGCTCTTTTAATTGCTCATAATTTGAATTGAATGACACAACTATTAAACGTATATTCACCCAACCTGTGTGGCTTAGTGGTTGAGCATCGACTCATACACCAAGAGGTCGCCAGTGCGATTCCCAATCAGGACACATGCCCAGGTTGTGGGCCAAATCCCCAGTGGGGGGCATGCAGGAGGCAGCCAGTCAGTGTTCTCTCTCATTGATGTTTCTTTCTCTCTCCCTTTCCCTTTTTCTTTCTCTAAAATCAATAAAGAAAAAACAAATTTTAAAAACAAAAACATATATTCACTGTCTCTGGCCAGTTTGACTCAGCGTTTAGAGCGTCCATAGAGTTTTGGGTTCAATTCCTGGTCAAGGTCATGTACCTGGGTTGCAGGTTCGTCCTGGTCGGAGTTGTGTGGGAGACAAGAATTGATGTGTCTCTCTTCACATCAATGTTTTTCTCT